ACACTCGTATTCAAGATCGAATAAGATTAGAAAAGTTGAGTTTCAGTTATTGGAACACCTTGTTTCGTTTTAATTAATTTATGTTTCGGTGGAATTGACGATAAAACACTGAGGTTTTTTGTTGATCATTTCGCAGTTAGACAATTTTGCGACCACAGCAAATTTTTTCTACAATTTAAATATAAATAGTAAAATTTTGCTAGTAAACAGCTTTAAGTTCATGTTCTGCTCATAAAAACTGACGCTTTTGTGATTTTGATGTGGAATTCTATTTAAGAGAAGAGTTCGTCTTGATGTTCGGTTTTGTTGATAAATCTATAGTAGCTATACCATTTTATCTTGTGTAGGATTATTCCCTTCTTTTTGTGCATAAAAACTAAGAACTAGACATCATCTTCTGAAAAACTCATTGTTAGTGTTCTTTAGCCCGATAAACAGAAAAGAAAAAAAAAATAACAAAATTAACTTGACTCGACTCGACTCGACTCGGAAGTCTCGGTAACTCGACTTGACTCGACTCGAAACCATTTCGAAATGACTCGGACTCGACTCGACTCGAAAAATGGCTTGACTCGCCCATCCCTGAAACAGGAAGAAAAATAACATTCTTTATGATTGTCTAAGGTCATCACATTCAAATTCATTATTCATTGTTCTTATGGACGACAATTAAGAGATAAACGCATATATATATTCAAAGAAATCAATATATATATAGCAATAGTTGGTTATGGATACTTTAACAAACAACAGTATCAATATTCTCGATTTGCCCAATGAAATATTATTTAGTATTTTCAACAAATTGAATATGATCGGTGTACTCTTTTCATTAGTGGATGTCAATGAACGATTTAATCGATTAGTATTTGATCAAGTTTATATTAATAACCTTGACTTGACCGTAAAATCATCGATTAATCATATCCCTTCAATAGATAATCAAATGCTTGATAGAGTTTGCGAAAAAATCTTACCACGAATTCATCATCAAGTAAACAAACTCATTTGTGAACCATATTCAATGGAACGCATATTTTTTACTGTTGATTATCCTCAACTGCGCTCGTTATCGCTTGTTAATTTCCAAAAAGAAACATTTTCCCAATGTTTAACAGGTATACTATTTGATTTTCTTCGCTTTAACCAACTAAACATTGTTACATATGATTTGATGATCATGTATTCTTGTCTACATCTTGATTGCGAACATTTTTTTTTGTCAATTAATGTAAAATATCCGAAAAACAGAATCTGATAGAAAAGTCAAAAAATGACGACAAATCGGAAAATATCCTCATTGTAAAATCAAGAGAATTTCTTAATTGAAGGCAAATTAGTCATGAAAGAAAGTTTAACATTTATTATTCCTACATTGAAAATCAAGATCATCTTTGTCAGATCGCGTCGAATACGATGATCTATTGATAATAGAAAGAGAACATAGTGTATTCTACGAACTATCAATATGTAAGAGTCTTTTTGAATATGCTTTTTTGCTTGAATGAAAAAAAAGATCATTTATTCTTATGTTACTCTTTGAGGATATGTCGACTTTATTGAGCTTGTTCTTCCTGAAATCGAACAATTGTTGATTCTTTTGACCTCTGAATATATTTAATCAAAGCTCAATGATTTCGGTGTATTTAACAATGAGATTTTAATTGACTATTATAAGTTTTGACAGTTGAATATATTCATGTAGAACACATCTCTGAATGAAAAAAAAGGAGCAAGACTACCTGTAACGTTTGATACTAGACTAACTCGAAAGAGGTGATATCCTCTCTTCAATTGACATAGTTACACTAATTCTCTAACTATATCCGGTGGTCGAGAAAAAAATGGATAAGTTTTTATTTGTATTTTTGTCCGTCAAGGTGTCGATAATGTATTTAGTGTCATCTTATGAAATAGATGCGCTGTCAAGTTTTCTACAATGTATAGAAAATTTGACAGCGCATCTTTTTCATATGTAATTCTAAATACATTATCCAGACTAACGGACAAAAATATGAATTAAAATTACGCATTTTTTTTGGATCACTGGATATTTATTTCTTGGTTTCATAATGCGGGCATTTTTCTATTCGCCATCGGTTTTGTCTGTTCGCGCAGTTTCGATTTATGAGCATTTTCTTCCAATTAAAGAAACATGTTTGCAATGAAGAATATATAATTTTTCTCTATATTCCAGGTAATAGAATTCTTCACTCTCTTCTCACTAATCAAATCACACATCTCAATATTGAAATCAAAGATGAAACAATAGCTTAATTATCTAATGAAAACAAATCAAATATATTCCCATTTATATTATCTTTAAGTAAACAATTAGTCGATATGACATTTTCTGAAATGTCATATACACGACGTTTGGGAATTTCGACTTTCAATCTCTCATTAACAAGTTGTATATCTTCAACTCTGATTAAATTGAAAATTGATGTTAATACCTTTGATGATTGTCTCTATCTTCTTGATGGACGTCTCGAATGTTTATCCATATTGATCGTCAACATACGTGAAATTTCTATGTCATTATCAAAAATAGATAATACTGTAAGTTCATTTGGATCACTATATCTCAGAAAAAATACTAAAGTAAGAGCATAGATAATATTAATTCTTTTTTACTTTATAGAAAAAACTTATTAAATTAAATCACTTTTCATTAATGTCGGTTGTTCACACAATATTTTATGATGCACAAGTTGTTCCACTACTTCAGCGAATGACAAATCTTGAAGAATTAACATTATTTATTTCAGTATTAAGAAGTGAATCGACTTATATTGATGGCAATTATTTTTATGATGAAATTCTTGTTCATATGCCACGACTAAACAAATTTACTTTTAGTATAATCACTGAAATTGTTAAGGCAAATATTGGAATTGATTTTCCATCAAATGATGACATTCAATTTAGTTTCAAGAAAAGAGGATATAATCAAGTTGGTTCGTATTCCGACTATGATTCAACGATGGGCGTAGCCAGATGTCATGTCTATTCACTCCCATATCAATTCGAAATTTTTATTAATCTGAATAACTTTTTTTCAGGAGGCATGTTTAATAAAGTTCGATACTTAACAATGAATGATACAAGTCCATTTGAACATGAATTATTTAAACTAGTGTCTCAAGATTTTCCTTGTCTTGAAAATTTATATATATATAATTTCTGTGCTCAAGAAAACAAACAAGATTCATGTACATTGATTGTATTTCCTCATCTTATTGAACTCAGGCTAGGTAGATCACATATAAATTATGCTGAACAGTTTCTCTTTGAAAAGAACACTCGTTTGCCTCGTTTACGAAAACTCAAGATCGACTACAAAACACTTGAAATGGTAACCGATAACTTTACCAATGATGCAGCGCGTCTTAACTGTGCTAACTTGCAAAGTATTGATTTAGATGGGCCGTTTGTTCGTCCAAAAAATTTTCATCAATATTTTTCTTTATTGTAAATTGTATGTCTTTTGTTAAAATTTGTTTCAATAAAGAATTTTTTGAAAGTTGATTACATATTTTGGATCATGATATAGAATGTTAGAAATGATTTGGTTTGTTAATAATTGGAATTAATTCCGAAAAAAAGGGGAAAGTGCCACCTCTAATCTTCATCCAAACAAGGATCCCGAATACGCGTGAAAACGCTTAAAAACAGAGTTTATTTAATGTTTACAGGCGCGCAGAGAGTAGTGGACGTGAAAATGTTAATACATTGCCTATTCTGCGTATGTGCACGCATACAAAAGTGGAAATACAAAATCT